GAGTCATCCGCCACGTCATCCACCCGAGCCGTCCGCTGTGAGCCACGTCAGACGCCACGTGGCTACACGTCATCGCCACGTCAGCGAGGAAGCAGAGCCACGTTTTGGACGAGGTCAGACCGGTTCACCCGTTTCCAGACCAGTTTCCAGACCAGTTTTGGACGAGGTCAGACCGGTTCTTACCATTTTCGGCCATTCCGGATCCAACGGTGAGCTCCGTTTGTCCAAATTCGGCTTCGAAAATAAGGTACGAGATATATAGAGCGTTTTATTATGGATAAATCATCGTCGGACACCATGATTGCGCTATCAATTGTTATTCAGCCAACTTAGGACTCATCCAGCCCCCAAGGGTGGACAAATTCGTGGGGTGGCCCCCACCCATGTGGGAGGTCATCCTAATTTGTCCCAAAGTGTACAATTTGCCCCGAAAGTTGTATTTTCCGGACTGTTTTAGATATATTTTATTTTATCGGGTTAAATATATATATTACGTGTTCTTAATCATTATAACATTTAGAATGAATATGCATTCCCCAACTTTACTTTATAAGTCTCCAAAATCCAATTTCGGGCTTTTATCTGATAAATTTATCGATACCGGTAATTGGGCCTCTATTGACCAATCGGTCAACTCTGGGCCTTTCCATGGCCCAAATGAAGTATCCGCCATCCTATAAATATTTTCTAGACCCAGATGAATATAATATGTGGTCCCGATAATATCGGGCGGTCCCCACTCCCGATGTGGGCCCCACGTGCATTTTACTATTCACGCGAAAAAATTTAATACAAATTCACAACCTCGTAAATTCACTAAAAATTTCATAGGGTTCAATAAATTATTCGCTTAAAGATAAATACATTTGAGGATGGTGTTACAAGTTCACCCCCCCTTATTTGGGATTTCGTCCCCGAAATCCGCGTGTCTAATCGAAAAGGAAAGGGTACTGCTCCCTCATTGAGACCTCAGTCTCCCAGGTTTCTTCTTCGACTCGATCACTCCTCCAAAGGACCTTTACCATAGGAATCTCCTTGTTCCTCAGTTTCTTTACCTGTTGACCCACAATCTTCACCGGTTCCACCGCATATTGTAGGTCTTCATGTATCTCTACCGGTGGTTTCTCAAGGATATGAGACGGATCTCGCACGTATTTCTTGAGCATCGATACATGGAACACGTCGTGTATCTTCTCAAGTTCTGGCGTCAATTTGATACGGTAAGCCACAGCCCCTATCTTTTCAAGGATTTCAAATGGGCTAATGTATCGGGGGTTAAGCTTTCCCCTCGATATAAATCTGATGATACCTTTCCAAGGAGAAATCCTTAGAAAGACCTTATCACCTACCTTAAACTCCAATGGCCTGCGTCGTTTGTCAGCATAACTCTTTTGCCGATCTTGGGCAGCCTTGAGTCTATCCTGAATGACTTTCACCTTAGCCTTGGTGATTTCGACAAGTTCAATCCCCTCGAGCTTGACTTCGCCAACCTCGTCCCAACATAACGGTGCTCTACATTTCCTCCCATACAATGCCTCGTATGGAGGCATGCCAATACTCGCCTGATAACTGTTGTTATAGGCGAACTCGACCAGAGCCAAATGCTTGTCCCAACTCCCTTGGAACTCCAGAGCACATGCCCTAAGCATATCTTCCAGAATCTGTATCACCCTCTCGGATTGCCCATCCGTCTGTGGGTGAAAGGCTGTGCTAAACTTTAGCTTCGTACCCAAAGATGCTTGAAATTTTGGCCAAAATCGGGATGTGAAACGTGGGTCCCTATCCGAGACAATGGATATCGGAACTCCATGCAGTCTCACAATCTCCTCCGTGTATAGCTTTGCCAATCTTTCAAGAGGATAAGTAATGTTGATAGGCAAAAAGTGTGCACTCTTGGTGAGCCTATCAACCACTACCCATACTGCATCATAGTTGTTCACTGTTCATGGTAGCCCCACCACGAAGTCCATGGTCACGTGCTCCCACTTCCATTCTGGAATGGTAAGTGGTTGCAAAAGTCCTGCCGGGTGCTGATGTTCCGCCTTTACTTGTTGGCAAGTAAGGCACCGACTCACGTACTCTGCGATGTCCCTCTTCATACCCGACCACCAGTAACTTTCCTTCAAGTCTCGGTACATTTTAGTACCTCCTGGATGCATGGCATACACCGAAGAATGAGCCTCCTCCAGTATAGACTTTTGGAGCTCCTCATTCCTTGGTATGCATACACGGCCTTTAAACAATAAAAGACCGTCATCACGTACCCGAAAGTTCTCAACAGGTCCCTCAAGGATCCGTTCACGGATCTTCTGACATTCTTCATCAGTGGCCTGACATCTACTGATCTCACTCAGCAATGTAGGCCTAACCTCGAATCTAGGAATGAGGACCCCACTCGTGGACACCTCCACTTGTGCCCTTAATGAGCGTAGACACGCGAGTAACGTCCCCGATGTACTCTTCCTGCTCAGTGCATCGGCTACTACATTGGCCTTCCCGGGATGATAGTCGATGATCAAGTCATAGTCCTTGATCAACTCCATCCATCTCCTTTGTCTCATATTCAACTCTTTTTGAGTGAATACATACTTCAAGCTTTTATGATCGGTGAAAATGTGACACGTCTCCCCATAGAGATAATGCCGCCAAATCTTCAGTGCAAACACTACCGCTCCCAACTCTAGATCGTGGGTAGGGTAGTTTGCCTCGTGTTTCTTCAATTGCCTTGAAGCATAGGCAATCACCCGACCGTTTTGCATTAGAACACATCCAAGCCCTTGGATGCTAGCGTCACTGTATATGTCGTACCCTATCCCTTGTGTGGGTAGAGCGAGGACTGGTGCTTCTGTAAGCCGTTTCTTTAGTTCGAGAAACCCTTTCTCACAATTGTCGTCCCATATGAACTTGGCCCCTTTCTTTGTGAGCTTTGTCAATGGAGACGCCAATACAGAAAATTCTTCAACAAACTTACGATAATATCCTGCTAAGCCGAGGAAACTACGTATTTCTTTCACGTTTTTGGGTCTCCCCCAATTCATAATGGCTTCTATCTTGGCTTTATCCACCGCAATGCCCGAACCTGACACGACATGCCCGAGGAACCCGATCTCTTTGAGCCAAAACTCGCATTTAGAGAACTTGGCAAAGAGTTGTTTTTCCCTTAGCCGTTCAAGTACAAGTCTCAAATGATCTTCATGCTCCTCCTCACTCTTGGAGTATATCAAAATATCGTCAATGAATACTATCACGAATTGATCTAAGTATTCACTGAACACACGGTTCATCATGTCCATGAATGCCGCCGGGGTGTTGGTTAGCCCGAACGACATAACTAGGAACTCGAAATGACCATACCTTGTGCGGAATGCACTCTTCGGTATGTCATCTTCCTTTATTTTCAGTTGGTGGTACCTCGACCTCAAGTCAATCTTCGAAAACACCGTCGCTCCTCGGAGCTGATCAAACAAGTCATCAATTCTAGGCAAGGGATACCTATTCTTGATTGTGACCTTGTTCAGTTGACGATAGTCAATGCACATTCGAAGTGTTCCATCTTTCTTTTTCACGAAAAGGACCGGTGCTCCCCACGGAGAGTGACTCGGCCTTATGAAACCATTATCCAATAGCTCCTGCAATTGGGTTTTCAACTCGTTAAGGTCAGCGGGTGCCATTCTGTATGGCGGTATAGAGATTGGTTTGGTGCCGGGTTCGACCTCGATCACGAACTCAATCTCCCTATTGGTTTGGGGCCTACATTCATAAGTAATGTATATCACACTATCTAATTAATAGGCTTGTTTCTTAAGTCGTAGAGTATGTTGGTCGTGGTTCGGGTGGGGTCCGTTTGACACCCGTCCGAAAATTCCCGGTTTCTAACCCTTAGAACCGTTCTGGGACCGACCCTGGTGAAAGCCGGCCGCTTTTCACGAAGCCGGCCGGTTTTCGACTGCGAGAATAATTCTCAGTATTTAATCACGAAAGCCGGGCGGCTTTTACGAAAGCCGGGCGGTTTTCGTCGCCGTAGTTTTTATTCAGGGAATGGTTTCGAAGCCGGCCGGTTTATACGAAACCCGGCCGGGTTTCAGCAGCGCAGGAATCCCTAGGCCCGACGAAAGCCGGGCGGCTTTCAGCTGCGAGAAAATTCTCAAGTCAGGCATTTATGAAAGTCGGCCGGTCTTTACAAAAGCCGGCCGGTTTTTGGTTGCGAGGATTTTCCTGATTAAATGTTGACGAAAGCCGGGCGGCTTTTGGTGGAAACCGGCCGCATTCGTCGCCACAGCATTTTCCCAATAATTCAAGACGAAAGCCGGGCAGCATTCGCCCAGGGCGGGGATTTTTCCTCCCCTTTTCCCAACAATCCCGACCAAACCGTCGGGGTTACAAATTTTGCACCTTACAAACATTCCTATTGCATACAATGGAGTAATATCAAGAGTTTAAGATCTTACCCGCCACAGAGTCCGGGTTAGCACGTGCGCCCGCCTCCGTCATCGCATAAACTCTAGCTTGAGTTCTTCCTTGATTCACGGACGGCGCATTGCTCGTGCTCGCTCCCCCTGGCCCACACTGGCATGAGATGCTCCGGCTCGGTTCCTACTTGACGTGGTAGCGCCGCTTGGTCCTGACCCCCGGTCCCCACCAAGTTGAGGGCAGTTTGGCTTAATATGCCCTGTACTCCCGCATTGGTAGCACCGTGGTGGATCACGACACTTACCGGCGTGGTTCCTGTTGCAATTCCTGCACCTGGGCGTCATTGGGGCTTGTGAGCCCGAGTAGTGCCCGCTCGTGGCCGGGTTTCCCTTGGATGGTGTTGCCGGTGCCCTGAACGATCCACCTCCCCCATGGTTCCCCTTCTTGTTGGGACCTTGGGGGGCATGGCTTTCCCACTTTCTTTTCTTAGCCTCTTCGACATCTCTCTTCTTCCTCTCCTCCCATTGCTTTTCTCCTTTCAACCCTTGGGCGACCACTTGGCTGAAAGTCATGTTGGGCAATTGAGTTGCCCTGTCGCGTATCTCCAAGTCCAAGGCCTCCCAAAAATGATTCACCATTCGGTTTTCATCACAAGCATACTCCGGTATGTGATCAGCAAGGTCTCTGAACTTGTTCTCAAGTTCTTTCACCGTCATGTTACCACCTTGGGTTAGGAGAGTGTATTCCCTCACCTTGGCGTTTACTTCGAAGTCAGAGTAGTACTGGGCAAAGAATTCTTGTCGAAAATCCTCCCATGTAACAGTTCCGTCATACTTACCCTTGGTTCCATCCCACCATTTGGATGCCAACCCTTCGAGTAACCTTACCGCGATTCTCAGTTTAAAATCGGGGGTGAGCTGCATGTCAAGGGTTGCCTCGTTCAGCCTCTTGACCCACTGTGCGGCAACCGAGATGTCTCCCGTCCCATCGAACGGTTTGCACCCTAAGTCCCTCGCCTCTTTGATGTATTTGGAGATCCTTATGGCTGGACCTCCATCGCCCCGACTTCCATGCGCTTCCACATGGGTTCTCGAATCGCAATAGCTCCTCCCTCTTGAAGCCCCGCCCGAAGGTTGCCCTGCACGGTGCCTTCGGCGTGTCCTCCTTTCTTCGCGCTCCCGATGATACTGTTGGAGCAGCGCTTCGATCCTGGCCAAGGAACCACTTTCCTCCTCATCACTCACCTCATCATCATTCTCTTCGTAAGGGGTCTCAACTGGCTCAGTCCCCGGCTGGTAGGTTGAGTCCTCATAGGACCAATAGGTCTCACTTTCGGTATCGACGTGGCCATCGCTCACGGTTTGACGTTGGCCTCCACGGCCCCTTCCTCTTGATCCCCTAGAGGACCCCCGGCTACCGCGCTCGGACCCACCCGGTGCACGGCCCAACGGGTTCCTTCTAGTGATCCTTCCAACGGGTTCCATTTCTGAAAGAAATTAGAATGAGTCATTAGACTCGCATCGAATGTCAATTGACGGATAGGTACTTAAAGACATCCTTTGGCTCAAATCACCGTCATACCAATTGTTAAGGGTATCATCTTAACAATTAGAGGCATTGCAACTCAAGTACCAAAAGTCCTATAAGTACAAAACCTTATGCTCACGGTCTCATTTTCAGATAAATTTCTACAGATCAGAAAATCGTGATTTTTCAAGTTGCTCGGAAGCAGGATCTGATCATACCGTTAGATTCGTCTCGGCGAGACGAGAAATCTGGTATTTTTGGGGATTTTTTTGGCCACCGGAAGAGGCCGTACGCGCCGCCGGAAAACTGCCTGCATCATCACTGCGTCATCACGCAGTCCAAAGGAAGAAGACGATCCACGTCAGCTGCCACGTCATCGCCACGTTGGACCACGTCAGCGACACGTGGTGCCGAGTCATCCGCCACGTCATCCACCCGAGCCGTCCGCTGTGAGCCACGTCAGACGCCACGTGGCTACACGTCATCGCCACGTCAGCGAGGAAGCAGAGCCACGTTTTGGGCGAGGTCAGACCGGTTCACCCGTTTCCAGATCAGTTTCCAGACCAGTTTTGGACGAGGTCAGACCGGTTCTTACCATTTTCGGCCATTCCGGATCCAACGGTGAGCTCCGTTTGTCCAAATTCGGCTTCGAAAATAAGGTACGAGATATATAGAGCGTTTTATTATGGATAAATCATCGTCGGACACCATGATTGCGCTCACATCCACAAACTACAATATGTGGAAGCCTCAGATGGAGGATTTGCTAATAATAATGGTGTGAAACCGGATAAAAAGACGGATGAAGAATGGACAAAAATGAATCGAAAAACTGTCGCACAAATTCGACAATGGATAGATCATAGTGTGTTCCACCATGTTGCTCAAGAACAAAGTGCTTACACACTATGGGAGAAGCTTGGTAGCATGTATCAAGCAAAAACCGCCCGAAATAAGACGTTACTAATGAGGAGATTAGTAAACCACAAATTACGTGGGGTATTTCGGTGTCAGAACACACCAGTCAATTCCAGGATCTTGTGAATCAGTTGAGCACCACCGGATGGGTTCTCAAAGATGAAGAGCAGGCGATACTACTCTTGAGCTCTCTACCTGACAGCTGGGAGACTCTTGTTGTCACTCTCAGTAATTCTGCTCCAAATGGGAAGGTGACTATGCAGATGGTCACAGATGCCCTGATGAATGAAGAAGCCCGAAGGAAGGAAGCCGGAACGGAACAATCATATGTCCTCATATCAGAAACTAACAAACGAGGGGGAGGCAGAAATGGAGGAAGAAGTCGAGGTCGAGGTAGAGGTCAAGGTCAAAGTAGAGGAAATTCTCAAGTTCGCGGAAGATCACAAGAGAGAGGTATGTCCTTTGAAAACAATACTTGGTTCGAAGGATATTGCAATTACTGTAGTAATTATGGACATAGGAAAAGAGATTGTAGAAAGTTTCTACGAAAGAAGCCACAGACGAGTCAAAATACTAGCCAAGAAGATGGTGAGACCATGGTTAGTTTGTCATCAGACGTGTATCTTGTTACACATGGTGAACAAGAATGTTTACACGTAGGCACTCATGATGTTGAGTGGGTGATTGATACAGCCGCATCATTTCACGCCACTCCACACCAGAACTTATTCACAACTTATAAGTCCGGAGACTTTGGAGCTGTGAAGATGGGAAACACCAGTTTCTCGAAGATTGTTGGCATTGGTGATGTGCACATAATAACCAATGTCGGATGCGCACTTGTGTTGAAAGATGTTCGACACGTTCTGGATCTTAGATTGAATCTTATCTCCGGTACAGCTCTGGATCAACAAGGATACCTTAACCGATTCAAAGAAGGTACGTGGAAGCTATCTAAAGGTTCCTTGGTTGTTGCAAGAGGCCATATTTGTGGCACTCTTTATAAAACTCATGCAAAGTTGTGTCATCCGAGTCTCAATGCTGTTGAAGAAGAGATCACCAAACTTATGGCACCGGAGGTTAGGTCACTTGAGCGTGAAGGGGTTGACAACTCTTGCAAAGAAGGAAGTCATTTCCATGGGCAAAAGTGTTGCCCTAGATTCATGCGAGCACTGTCTATTTGGGAAACAACACAAGGTTTCCTTCAGTTCTACCAAGAAGAACCATACAGAGTTACTCAGTCTTGTCCACTCTGATGTATGTGGACCCATTGAAGAGGAGTCACTAGGAGGAAGCAGATACTTCGTGACATTCATTGATGATGCATCACGAAAGGTATGGGCCTACTGTTTAAATCGTAAGGATCAAGTGTTTGATCGATTCAAATCATTTCATGCCATGGTAGAAAGAGAAACAGGGAAGAAGCTGAAGTGTCTGCGTTCAGACAATGGAGGAGAGTACACTTCCCGAGAATTCTCAGCATATTGTGCCGCATATGGAATCAGACATGAGAAGACGGTTCCACGAACTCCGCAACACAATGGTGTAGCCGAAAGAATGAATCAGACTATTATGGAGAAAGTTCGTTGCATGTTGAGTCTGGCTAAGCTACCTAAGCCATTTTGGGGTGAAGCTGTGCTGACAGCTTGTTATCTTATAAACAGGTCACCTTCTGTTCCTTTAAACTTTGAAGTGCCAGAGAAGAAATGGTCAGGAAGAGATGTTTCTTACTCTCACTTAAAAGTGTTCGGGTGCAAGGCATTTGCACATGTGTCCAAGGAGTTGAGACAAAAGCTTGATCTCAAGTCAAACCCATGTATCTTCATCGGCTATGGAGATGAAGAATTCAAATACGGTTGTGGGATCCCGAAGTGAAGAAAGTTATTCGAAGCAGAGATGTTGTATTTCATGAAAACGAGTTTCATGGGTGTGCTCCAATAATCCGCCAACAACATTCTCCAGAAGACGAAGTGCCTGTATCATCAAACATTCCTCTCAGCGACGAGGAGATGCATGATTCTACTGAACACGAGAGTGATGGTTCAGCAGGTGATGATGATACTCACAGTGATGATATTCCTCAGCAGGGGGAGCCTTCATCTGAAGACGAATCTGAAGGTATTCATGTTCGACGTTCTATGTGAGGCATAGTTCCACAAAGAAAATACTCCACATCCGAATGGATACTTGTTGCCAGCAAGGGGGAGCCAGCGAGCACCGCAGGAACGAGAGAAATAAAGAAAAAGGTGGAGGGGGAGATTTGTAGGTATCTTCCACCTTCTTTCTTGGAAGTTGCCAAGAGACACCTTAACATGGAGGCACCTTCTTGGAAAGAGCTCTCCAACAAATAAGTGTGGGAGAAGATATGGAGATACCTAGGAAGCTTGGATGCAACTTCCTCATGTCTCCAAACCAGCCCTATAAATAGAGTGCTCCATTGTTGTTCATAGTATCAGTTTAGAAAGTGAGAAAAGTGTGTGAAGAGTGAAATACACTCAGTGTAGAAGTGTATTGGTGAGGATTGATTTTTTGTAATAGTTGAGTGTGAGAGTTTGCTCCTCCTATTGTAATTCTGTTCTTGATATTGAATAGAAGAATTTTCCAATCCCAACACTAACGATTTAAAGGGAGAAGAACGTCAAGGATTGGAGGGAATTCATAGAGAAAGTTGGGAGTCCACTAGAAAAATTAACAGATAGGTGAGGGATCTATTCATAATTAGCCCATAATCAGACTTGCAAGTTGCAAACTGACTTCACCTGGTCTCTTGGCAGGGAGATAAAATCAAAGTCAAAGATGACAAGCGCAAAGGCGGGGAGTTGTTGCAGAAGAAGAGGGTGTAGAAGAATAGTCTTCCTCCTTCTGGTGGTGTCCAACGAGGCGTGTTTCAACAATACGAGACTGGTTTCCGGTGAGAAGGATCTCTCGACCGTTCAGTGTTGGGTTTATTAATGAGGAGGACAAGAACATGTGCAAGACCATGGAAATTAGCCAAGCTACGTGTGCATTTAACATTGGTTACATTAAAAGTAGATGTACCTTTGTCCATATGGACCAATCAGAATGATGTAGTTGAATTATTTAAATCTAAATTAAAACTGATGTAATGATCTGAACCAATCAAGTGAGTGGTAGGTACGGTACCCCATTTTTTAAATAGGTACCGGAGTTGTCACCTACATTAAAAGGACTTAAACATTTGTGCCATGTAGATTGTCGCTTGTCCAGTGCTTATACCGTGGAACCGGTGCATGGTAAGCACCATGCACCATTTGTTATTTTTTATTTTTCCTTTTCTTAAAATTGTTAATAATTTTTTTTTGATCCGATTTTTATAAAATTTATATCAATTTTTTTTATTTTTCATGATCTTTCAAATGAGACCAATATTGCCTATGTAATTTTAATTTTTTACATTCATACATTTTTTTGTAATATATTTTTATATGCATACACTTTTTCTATAATATATTGTTTTATCACTTTTATATGTTTTTAGAGGTTTTTAAGATATTGAGTTTGTTTATTTTGCTTCTAGCTTGGAGTTACATTTGATAATATACGAAGTTACATTATCTTATACTCCAGTTACAAGTTATTATGTGTGAGTTACATCTTGTTATGTATGAGTTAAATCTTGCTATACACGAGTTACATACTTTTATGCGCGAGTTAAATGTAAATATGTGTGAGTTGCATCTTGTTATGTGTGAGTTACATCTTGTTATACACGAGTTACATACTTTTATGCGCGAGTTACATGTAATTATGTGTGAGTTATATCTAATTATTTGTGATTTTTTACTTATCTTTATCTTGAACTAATTCAATTATAACTGAATTCATTTTTTTCTTTGCCAATTTAATACAAAATTTTATTAATCCACATAAAATAAGTATATTGTATTTCATATTCATACACTATTTTTCAAATGATAAAAATGAAAGATGTAGCAGGAGTTTATTTCATGGTGTAACTCACATACATTAAGATGCAACTCGCGTATATTAAGATGTAACTCGCGTACAATAAGATGTAACTCGCGCAGAAGAAGATATAACTTCACGATATACTATCAAATGTAACTTCAAAATAATTTGTTAAAATTACATAAGCAATATTGGTCTCATTTGATAGATCATGAAAAATAAAAATAAAAATTGATATAAAATTTATAAAAATCGGATATCAAATAAAAAAGTTATTACAATTTTTAACAATAAAAGAAATAAAAATTAATGGATGCTGCCTCGTTTTGGGATCAGGCACACCATCATCATGGTGTGCCGATCCCAGGATATAAATTGCGTCCATTTAACCCACTAACCGGTTGTTTTACTTGTTTACTGTTTAAAAATTCAATTTGAGCGTTTTTTTAAAGTTAAAGTGGAATGTCTAATTGGGTGATACTCCCTCCGTCCTTGAAAATCCTTCTCAGTTTGACTTGGCACAGATATTAAGAGAGTGAAATAAAGTGGAAATGTATGATTTTGTTTGTGTAAGAAAAAGGTGAAATGAATGTGAACCACACAAATTATCCAAAAATGGTAAGTGGGGAGAATTTTTTGGAACGATCCAAAAGGAAAGTGAGAAGGATTTTCAAGAACGAAAGAAGTATATACATATGAGGGGTAAATTATACGGTAAGGCCCGCATTTTTATAATTATATTCAATTTATGGGACAATAGTTAAGAACTGCTCTATCGGTCGCTTTTCTTAAAAAAAAAAGATGACACCTCATTTTTTTGGGCTCCAACCCCAACGTCCGACGGGAGGGTGCTTTTCTTTTTCCGCCATCATGCTCCTGCGGGCTGCAGCTCTTCATGCGCACCATCCTTGATGTCCGCATCCATCCTTGGCATCCGTTAGTTTTGCTTTTTATTCTTTATTTTTTTTCTTTTTCTTCTTTCTTGCTTTTAGTTGTTCTCCTTTCTTTTTCTTCTTGGTACAATAGGTTGAATGCCCAATCACGACCCCCACCCCGACCCGACAAGATGGTGGAGAGGTTAATCACGGTGAATTAGTCAGCAAAGCGGTGGTAGGTCTTATACTCGTGCGTACCAGAGGTCCAACCTTATTTCAGGTTTTGTAACCTCCACAAGGCCGTTGCGGGTTTCGAACCTTGGTCACTTGGTCCAATTTTCCTACCACTCGACCAACTGAGCTACTTGTGCGGGTAATTTCTTTTTCTTCTTTGTTTCTTTAACAATTGTTTTCTTTATCTTTTTCAATTATTATGAAAATTTATTATGAAAATATTTTTTAATATTCGAGTTTGTTTTTTTCTTTATACAATCAACCTTCTAACTTATTTTTTTAATTTGTACATTATCATTGCTCATTTGGTAAATTATATATGCTTATTTGGTATTGGTGTTATGCTCATTTTAACATGTTATGTAAATGCATATTTCAAAAGTACTATATTATACTTCCTCCGTTACTTATTAAAGTTTCCACTTTCCTTTTTGGGATGTCCCTTATTTAAGTTCACACTTCTATTTTAGGAAACAAACAGTGCCAAACAGTGTCCAAACAGTGCCAAACAGTGCCAAACAGTGCCAAACAGTGTCCAAACAGTGCCAAACAGTGCACTCCACAGTAAAGTCAAATTTATTTTCTTAATCCGTGTGAAGTCAAACTGGGAACTTTAATGAGAACCGGAGGTAGTATTGGATTCACATAAGAACTGATTATAGATACAGGAGCAGAGACCATGATACTCAATTTCATGTTTCTAATAATCAATAAAGGTGTTTTGATGATCAATGAAAATGTTTTGATGCTCAACAAAAAAACTTATGATTTTCGTATTAATGCTCATTTTGTATGTTACATATGCTCAATTGATACTTATGTTATGCTCATTTTTAAAAATGTCATATCAATGCATATTTCAAAAGTGTCATACTACATTAAATCCACATATTGAAGTTTATAGAAGTTGATTATAGATATAATTTAATGAGTTTTTATAAAAGATAAAATAAGAAAAAGAAAGTGAATTACAATATATGAAGTTGATATCACAATACTCATTATTTGACTCTTAATACTCAGTAAAATATGTCTGATGCTCATTAACAGTGTATTAATGCTCATCTAACAAAAACCGTGATTTTCAATGAAATTACGAAAATGCATCGTTTTTTTAGTTGTGATATTAGCTATATTGTAATAACATGGTGCTCATTATTAAACTCTTGATACTCATTAAAATTTGATTATTGCTCATTAACAATACACTAATGCTCAGATAGCAGAAACCGCGATTTTCACATTATATTACAAAAATGCCACCGGCTGTACGGTGCTCACCATACAACCGGTGTTGTACGGTGGACGGACTCAGTATGAGGACTTAATTGCTATTTTAAGTATAGTAGGAGGGCCTATTTCATAATTTTCCATTATTATTACACTGATTATTATTCTTATTTTATTTCAATTAATATTTCTAGTTTGAAAAATTATTAAAACCCCAAATAATAAGTTAAAATTGAATTGTATATTAGACTTTTGAAGTATAAAATCAAGAGTTGTTGTGAAAAGCTACTGTTTTTTCAATCTTGTTTTTTTTTTTCACTTCAAATGAAAAAAACGAGTTTTCCCCCGGAATAATGCTAATTAAATAAATTATTCCTGAAATACTGTCGGGTTAAAAATAATTCCCAAAATACTGCTGGAATTAATCACGGTTAAGGAAAGTCGCCACTTCAAGTGGGGGATCTTGTATTACTTCACAAAAGCCGCCACTCCAAGTGGCAGCTCTTCTCTTACATCCCATTTTGTACATATATAAAACACAATATGTTTCAAGAATTTGTTTAACTGTCTTCTTGATTGAATTTTGAGCTGAAATTTGGTATGCATAAACTAGACTTGATTAGGAACATGCTCAAAAAGTTTCATCAAAAAAATCCACCGGAAACACCCTCTGACGGTGTTTTCCGCGGGGGTTCCGGTCAGGACGTCATGACAAAAATGTGGTCCGACCAACTCAATTTGAGGTGGTTCCCGGTGGTATGTTTTGATGAATTTTTTTGTGTATGTTCTTAATAAATTCTAGTTCAGTCAAACCAAATTTGAGAAAAAATTTCAATCCGAAAGACTATCAAATGATTTTTGAAAGATAACTACGCCGGATTATACATATAAAACACAGTTATCTTTAAAAAATCATTTGACTGTTTTCTAGATTGAGATTGGTTCTGAAATTTGACATGGATTAACTAGACTTGATGAATAACATACACACAAAAATTCAGCAAAACATCCCACCGGGAATCACCACAAATTGAGGTGGCCAGACCACATTTTTATCATGACGTCCTGACCAGAACCTCCCGCGGACAACACTATCAGAGGGTGTTTCCGGTGGAAGTTTTTATGCAATTTTTTGAGCATGTTCCTCATCAAGTCTAGTTTATGCATACCAAATTTCAGCTCAAAATTTAATCGGGAAGGCAGTTAAACAAATTCTTGAAACATACTGCGTTTTATATATGTACAAAATGGGACGTCAGAGAAGAACCGCCACTTGAAGTGGCGGTTTTTGTACTATAAGAGAAGAGCCACCACTCAGAGTGACGACTTTTGAGAAGTAATACAAGAACCGCCACTTGGACTGGCGGCTTTCCTTAAACGTGGTTAATTCCAGCAGTATTTTGGGAATTATTCTTAACCCGACAATATTTCAGGAATAATTTATTTAATTAGCATTATTCCAGAAAAAAACTAGAAATAAACTTTTATCAAACATCAAAAGTAATTGTTTGATAGCCGACAACCAAACACCCCTCAATGTAATCACAAGTTACATTTTATGTTGAACATTTTACCGATTTATTTATGATGACTGAATGTTTTCCCTTTCCAGTCAGTCACTGTGGGGCGTTTCCGCAGTTCCGGAGTATATTCAATAAAAAAAATGTAATGTCGGTTTCCTTCTATATACTGTAAATAATAATCCGGCAAGCTCAGTATGCATAATCCGGAGTATATTCAATTGTTCGTCATTGTCGTCCATCTATATACTGTAAATAATAATCCGGCAATCTCAGTAGCAGGTCGGATACAGAAATCTCAAATAACAATGTAATGTCGGTTTCCTTCCTATTAGCTACTCCGAAAAAAAGAAGTCATTGATTCGCCTTTCCGGCCGGTCTTCAATTAGTTGGTCGAATCCAGTTCAGCGAGTAGTATACGAAATGAGGGTAGCCATGGGAGTGAGATCACCGCGACGAAGGCGCGTGGCCCACTGTTTGCTGATGGCAACTGCGCTGTTCACTCTCCTTGGCTTATTATTCCTCACCTCATCAAGATCCGTCGATCCTTCATCATCATCACACATCTCTATCAATTCCGCCGCCTTCCTAGCCGATGACGACGATGGCGAAGTTAGCATTGGTCCCGTATCTCACGACGTCGTTCCACGAAACAAAACTTG